AAGTTTTATATTTCATTTGGAGTTAGTTTCGTACCAATCAGAGTCACAAATTAAAAGTTATAACCGATATACTACAGCCTATCCAGTTTAGGTGTCTTTTTAGCGTCAACTTTCTCTCTTTTTTTTAAAAAAAAAAATTATATCTTTTTGTGTCGGGCTAGTTGTAGCCAAGTCCTGTAATCCGTGTTAACTCTTATAACATAGGAATTATATTTTTTTATTTTTATTTAATTTTTTTTACCCATGAGTTTTAACTCTTCAAGAATTCTAGTCGTCTTCCTAGTTTCTCGTGATCGATTTTTGTGCTAACCTTAACATGTGTTCTTTGTCTTTGATTGTGGTTGATCTTATTCATGACTAACGATTTCCAATGGACTATTTTCACCTATTAAATAGCATAAACATTAAAATTTGACAAAATTAATCAAGTTAGTTTGTCTTTTAGTCTTCCGTGGTATTTGGTCATTGTGTCCTTTGTTTTTCACAACGTCCTCATGTCTAGCCATGCGATCATACCACGAGTCTTAATAAACTCACCAAATCACACACGTTGAGTCGTTACACACACTTTGTATTCGAGTAATGCACTATATTGTTTACGATCCTACATTTGGACCACGCATGCGTCGTTTTTCGACGTAATAGGAACGAGTGGAGTTTTTCCCATCAGTTTTCAAAATTGTTTCATACGCACTTCCTTTCTAATTCGGGTATTGAGTGAATGCATTAAGTGAGTTCATCCTTACACAGTACTTGAGTCTAAAATCACTAGGCAATAGTTGGAAGAATAAGGGGAACGTCACTCCTTCCTTATTTCCTTCCAATCAAAGCATCAACAACAATAAACTTTTTTCCTCACCAAGTGGCAACAAGTAACTCATAAAAAGCCACAAAGACAAAGCACGATACAAGCTTCTCACAAGACTTCATGTTTTCTTCTTCTGTTGTTTCAAACCCTTCCCCCTAAAAAAGTCTAGCATAAGTTCTCCTTATCCATGTGTTTTTGTGTCACATTTCTTACCTTCTTCATAAATGAGCATCTCTTTATTACATTCGATCATGTGATTAGCAAAAAAAAATAAAAAACAATTGCCAAACTAAACACAAGGTACACCAATGATTTGAGGCACCTTTCCAACCCTATCATTCCCCATTAATCATTCAAGCACACATTCAATTTCTTCATCAACCACTTTGAGCCTCGTCTAATGTTTGGCCTTCATTTCTTCAACCCACATTCACCTAGCCCTGGGATGGGAAAGTGTGTAATTTGTGTAACATTCAAAAAGCAATTAAACAAAAAGCAGCAAAGCAACAATAAAACAATGTCTAAGGGCAAGTGTTCCAATGTCTTTGATATGAACACGTCTCAAATTGCGTCTCTCATCGAGTGCTTGGTACCGTGCCTGAGAAACATGAATGCTAAGTGAGTGATAGACCGCATGATCTGAGATTGCCTATATTGATTCAAAAAAATGAAAAAAATTGAATTCAAATAAGAAAAATACTACCTCCGGTCCAAATTACTCGCAACTTTAGAATATTTAATATCTCACAAATAATACCCAAAAGTTGCGAGTATATGAAAATAAAACTTGCAAAGTCCGAATTTTAAAAAATACAATTGCATATCTTGAGGGATTCTCTCGGGTCATGATCCTTTTACCCCTTTCTTCCCTTAACCATCAGCTTAAGCACTATAACCCTTGAAAGACCTCTTTGTGGTGTACACACACTTGTGCAAAGTTTGGTTAGAGCTATGTTTGGCCTGATTCCTAACGGATACGTAGGCAACCTCACATCGAGTTGGGGCCACATTCATATTCACATTCATACTCATATCCATGCATGATTGACTCAAAGAATATCCAATTCTTACCCCTATCTATATAGAGCTAGACTTGGGGTCTTGAACACACATCATATAGCCTACCCAGCCTAAAGAGTCATCATCTTTGACTGTTCTCACATCACCATAACCCTTGTAGCCAGCCTTAGTATCACATTCACACACTTCACTCACACATCCATATCCATATCGATCATATTTCCCTTTAAGAACCCTTTATCATGAAATCTTGTTTCAACATTGTGCATGTTTCATCATCTTTAATGACAACATTCATTAGAATAAACATTGTATACTTGCTTAGCTTCCTGAACTGAGCAATATTCATTGTTTCACGCATCGCATAATGTGCTAAATAACATTTATATATCAGTGATTTGTAATCATACAAAGCATATCGTGCTTAGCTCCTTAACCTAAGCAACGTTCATTATGCAATAATCACTTCATCTATATACGTGCTTAGCTTCCAGACCTAAGTGACGTTCAAGATAGTTTCTTTACACCATATATGATGCTTAGAAACATGAACTAAGTTCATTCATCTATCATGTCACATGATGTAATTGTCCTTAGCCTCCTAGCCTAAGGATATGCATCATGCATAAGTTATTTTCAAGACAAGAAATTCAATCCATACGATTCATTTTGTCTTGCTCAACAAGGAAGTTCAAAACTTCTTCCTTTTTTCATGTCTTTTCTTGTAAGGAATTTAAAAAAACTTATTTAAAATTTTCTCATCGAGGGAATTTCAAAAACAAAAGTTTAGTTTTCACGTCTTTCTTTTTCTGGAGAAAGTCAGTACCCTCCACTTGTCTCATGACAAAAATGACGGAAAATTTTTGCTTTTGCATTTCCTGTTGCTTGTGTTTTCACACACACACCATATACACACACAACCAAAAGTTATACAAAAGTCATGTCATGTCAAGTCAAGATTGGTCAAGTCAGTTGGTCAAGTTAATCATAGTCTATACGAGTCCCTTGGCAAATTTTGTTTTGCAAGTCTCAATTACAGCCCACGTCTAGAGACAAGCGGACCATCTATAGCCCACAATCGGGGGACAAGAGAACCCATCACAGCCCACATTCAGGGACAAGCGAACCAAATTCAGCCCACGTCCGGGGACAACCGGACCATTTGCAGACTACGTACGGGAACAAACGGACAATCTACAACCCACGTTCGGGGACAAGCAAACCATCATCATTTTGGTGGTCATCTCCCAAGCGAAGACGATTCACGACGCTAGGTTCTCGATACACAGAGACTTGCAATCTTATTAGACAAGTTTTTCCTCAAGCACGGAATGTATTATCCGGTGGATTTCTTCAAGCACATAAAACCGCCAAAATCATCTGTCGACTTTCCTCAAGCATGGAAAGTATTATCACCGGATTTCTTCAAGCATAGAAAACTTTCAAATTCATATGTCGACTTTCCTCAAGCAAGAAAAGAATCATCCGGTAGATTTCTTCAAGCATAGAAAGCTACCAAACTCATTAGTCGACTTTCCTTAGGCATGGAAAGTATCTCAACAAAACGTCATCCGGTGGATTCCTTCAAGCATAGGAAGATACCAAACTCATTTGTCACCGATACACTTGTGTTAGATAATCATTTTATCCCTTTACTCTTTTATCTGTAGAACTAACATTTTTCTGCAGGTATCGGTTTATACAAAGTGATTCAGGATCGCATAACGTCTTAAATCATTATCCGTCTATATCGACTACTTTGACTATCGTTTTCGAAAATGACGTTTCTACAAACTCAGTCAAAGTGGCGGCTTCTGTAGACACCTAAAAATGTCTCCCCAAAACCAAACCCGATGATGAACAACCTTTCACCACCATTATTGGTCGAGTTAAAGTATTTAATCTTGGAGTGCTTAAATCCATATTTCCATTTCATAAACCAACCCAAATCCTAGCCCATTTCCCAAAACCATAACTTATTTTCCTCTTTTCGTGCCTTTAAACCCAAAATAATTCATTTTGTGTCCTTTAAAATCATTCATTTCGTGTCCTTTTTGTAAAAAAGTTTAGTCTAGTTTATTTTGGTCCATAATCTGGGTCCAATGATTGAATAGCTGGATGGGGCTTGAAAATAGTTTTCCAGGCCAACAATATATTATAAGCCCAAATTTGAGTTGTAACGAATAAGTTGTGGCCAAAATACTAAACTGAACCCAAACCGAACCTAAGCCCATCTTATCTACGACCCAATGATCATTTGGAGGGTCCAAAAGCTTTAATACCATCCCTTAACCAATTAGAATTAATTGGAAGCTTCTATAAGTTTCTAAAATAACTTAATTATAATTTTTGAATAGATAAGATTGAAGAATTTGAAATTGAATAAAACTCCTCTTTTTGAAAGTCCCAATTCTATCTGAATTGAAAGACGTTCAAAGATAAACATATATTATTTTCTTGACTTATATTTTTTTATCCAAATCTTAAATGGTTGGATAGCCCTTGAAATTATCTTTTCAATTATATATTATAATATCAATTCTGAGCTATAATGGAAAAGATATGAATAAAATATCAAACTCCATCCAAAACTGACATCGTCTCACTATTTCGTTCATATCTTTTATTCTACAAAATATTTTAATCTGATTTTAATTGGGTTAGAAATTATACTTGAAGAGATTTCCAACGATATCTTATTTATTTTATTCCGATTTTTGGATCAAAAAATATGATAAAAACAAATACCACAAAAACTGCAATCTATCGAGTTTTATTCCGATTTAATTCGGATATTATCTTGTTTTTTTTACCCTTCTTTTTTTCTTTATAAATAGATGTCATATCACTCCTTTTTCAATAATCAACAAGCTTGATCATCAAAATAATTCTTTTCTCCCTCTTTAGCCTAAACACTAGCCACCATATTCTTCCGTAATACTTCCCCTAAGCACTCCAAGGAGTTCATACAATACTCAAAGTTCTATACTTAAACCAAGGCGTGAAAGGTATAATTAATTGAGGGTTTGGTTATGGGGATACATTATTAGGTGTCTACACACCTGGATTTTCTCCAAAGACTCAAGGTGACAATTCCTATTCACAATCCTCTTCCTCTAGGACTTATTTGGAGGAAATCATTGAGAATCAAACAAAGTTATTGAACACTTACATGGCCGTAAGTGACAAGAAATTTAATGAAATGATGACTCGTAATAAGATGCTTGAAAACCAAATTTCTCAACTTGCCAATGCTTTAAAAGACCATGCTAGTCCTTCTTCTTTACCTTCCCAAGGCCTAGATTCCAAGAGACCCATGAATGCTATTGTTAGAAGGAGTGGTAAGGTTCTTAAGGAGAGTTTGCCTAAGAAGAGTGAAACTAAGGAAGTTCCCAAAGAGGTCTTGGTAGAGGATGAGAGAGATGGTGCATTTTTGAGTGACGTTGTGATTGAGACACCTAGAGAGGTGATAGTAGAGAAAGAAATTGTGAAACCCAAGCTTCAATATCCACCAAAGTTCATGAGACACAAGCTAGATGAACAATTTGGAATATTTATTGACATGCGTAAGCAACTTCACCTTTCTTTACCATTTACCGAAGTTGTCACCCAAATGCCCAACTATGCAAAATTCCTCAAAGACATTTTGAGTGGTAGGAGGACTTGTGATGTTGTGGAGACGGTCAACTTGACCGAGAATTGTAGTGCAATTATAATGAACAAGATGCCACCCAAGTTGAAAGATCCCGAAAACTTCTCTATCCCTTGTACCATTAACAAGATGCAAATTGATAATGCCTTATGTGACTTAGGAGCTAGTTTTAGCCTAATGTCATACTCGGTTTATCAAAGACTTGAGTTAGGGGAACTTTTGCCTTCCAACATTACCTTGCAATTAGCCTATAGGTCAATCAAATTTACAAAGGGTAAGGTGGAGGATGTTCCTTTGAGGCTAGGGAAGTTTGTGATTCTGGTGGATTTTGTGTTTCTTGAAATGAATGAAGATGCTACGTACCATTCCTATTCACTACTACAAAAATGCTCAAAGAGACCACAAATAAGAGACCATTTAATTAAATATTTGGTCTCTTTACATCAAGAGACCACATATTTTAAATAATTGATCTCTAAGGTACTATATTAGGGAGATTAAAATGTACTAGAGACCATTTATATAAGATAAGTGGTCTCTCATTTTTTTTTAATTAAATGAATCAATAAAGGGATAAATCATTTATTTAGGAAATGTGGTCTCTCTTTTTATTAATTAAATAAATAAATAAACAGAGGGACCATTTATTTAAAATCAATGGTCTCTTTTTTTTATTATTTAAATAAAAAAAGAGAGAGACCATCTATTTAAAAGAAATAGTCTCTTTTTTTAATTAAAAAAAATAGAAAAAGAGAGAGACCATTTATTTAAGAGAAATGGTCTCTCATTCTTTTTAATTAATAACAGTAAATAAATACAGAGTCAAACTTTCTTTCAAAAGAAAAAAGGTACTTCTTATAACTTTTGATTTTATCCATTTGTGAAGCCCATAAGCCTAACACCTAAACCCTAATCAGCCGCCCCCCACCCCATTTATTTTTCTCTCATCTCGTTCCTCTCTCCTCTTTCATTTCTGTTCTCCTTCTTCACTCACCTTAATTCTTTAATTTCTCTCTCCACTCCATCCTCTTCGCTTAATTGAGATCCTCCATTGCAACGAGCATCGCTGAGCAACAGCTAGTCGAAGAACTCGCGTTGAGCACCGGTCGCACACCGTACATCGATCTTCAAACCACATCTGCCGCAGCCCGACCATTGTTACCCCGACCATAAGTATTTTTTTTTTAATATTAGATCTTATTTTAGTTTAGATTAAACAAAAAATCTAGGTATATTTTGTTTTGATTTCCTAAGTTTGATTTTTTTGTTAATATGATTATAATTTAAGTTTGTAATTTTTATATGATTGTGTCATAATTTATTTTAAAAAATTTAGACTTTTTTCTATGTTTAATTTTAGGTTTTTTTTTGTATGATGTTGTCGTGGGTGGTGGTTGTGGGAGGTCATGGATGGAGTGGTTAGATTAGGCGGTGCTTGTGTGGGTTTTTGGTGGGTGGAGTGGGCTATTTAGGTCATGCTTAGGGTGGGTTTGGGTCGAGGTGGGTACAGGTGGGCGTAGGTTAGGGGCGTCGAGGTGGGTGTAGGCTGTTAGGGTGGATTTCAGTCGAGGTGGCTGTAGGTTGGAGTGGGTTAGGGGCGTTGAGGGTGGGGTAAAGGTTGTTGGGGTGGGTTTCGGTCGAGGTGGGTTCAGGTTGTTAGGGAGGGTTTGAGTCGAGATGGGTTCCGGTCGAGGCGGGTGTAGGTGGGAGTGTGTTAGGGGCGTAGAGGGTGGTTTTGGGGTGGGTACATGTGGGTGTGGGTGAGGGGCGTTGCTAAGGTTGATGCAGGTTGTTGAGGTGGGTTTGGGTCGGGGTGGGTTTGGGTTGAAGTGGGTGTAGGTGGGGCCGTGGGGGTGCGTTGGGATTAATTCTTTTTTAACAAAAAAACATGAAAGAGACCACCTATTTGAAATAGGTGGTCTCACTTTTTAAAAACTGAGACCACACCTATCTTAAATAAGTGGTCTCGAATTTTAAGAAATTGAGACCATATATCTTTAATAAGTGCTCTTAAATTTTTAAAAACTAAGACCACCTATTTTAAAAAAGTGGTCTTTCTTTTTAAAACAAGAGACCTCTTTTGATGAAGTGATTTTTTAGGCCAAAGAGACCTGTGAGCTAGAGACCACCCCTAAGGTAGTCTCTTTGGCCATTTTGATATGGTCTCTTTGGCTAATTTTGTAGTAGTGATTATTCTTGGTAGACCTTTTCCTGCTACCTCGGGTGCTATGATTGGTGTCAAGAGTGCGAAAATTTCCCTTAAGGTAGGAGATGAGGTCATTGAATTTGACTTGAATAAAAGCATGAAGTACCCATATTCTTATTTAGAAAATTGCATGTTGATTGATTCTCTTGATCATGTTGTGTCTTCTATGCATGAGCACTTGCTCACTTCTAATGATCCTCTTGAGAATGTCTTGTTGAATAAGGATACAATAGGTGCTCCTATCAAGGAAATGGTAATGTATGAGGATTTTCTAAATGGAAGCATCTAGGAAGTGGATGAGCATATGTGCATGAATATCTCAAGCCAAGAGGCTTTGCAAGCTGCCACTTCAAAGGAAGGTAAAGGTGTACCAATGGTTGAGCTCAAACCTCCTCCATCACACCTTAGGTATGAATTCTTGGGACCTAACTTCACTTTTCCCGTGATTGTTAGCTCTTCTTTGAGTGAGAACCAAGCTCAAAAGTTGTGTGATGTTTTGAGGAAGCATCAAGGTGCTTTGGGTTATACCATTGATGACCTCAAAGGTATAAGACCCGCTTTATGTACACATCACATAACTCTTAAGGAGGGTGTTTTACCATCTATTGAGAGGCAATAAAAGATAAATCTCCAAATGGGAAAGGTAGTGAAGAAGGAGATCGCCAAACTTTTGGATGCGGGAATCATATTCCTCATTTCTAATTCTAGGTGGGTTTCTCCCATTCACGTTGTCCCAAAGAATGGAGGTATGACCATCGTTGAGAATGAGAAAGGTGAGCTCATTCCAACGAGAACAGTCACGGAATGGAGGATGCGTATAGACTATAGACGTCTAAACACATCTACAAAGAAAGATCATTTCCCCCTTCCTGTTATTGATCAAATGCTTGAGAGACTAATAAGGCACAAGTTCTATTGTTTTCTTGATGGTTATTCGGGATTTTTCCAAATCCCTATCCACCCAGATGACCAAGAGAAAACAACCTTCACTTGTCCATATGGTACATTTGCTTATAGGAGAATGTCGTTTGGCCTTTGCAATGCTCCTGCGAAATTTCAAAGATGGATGATGAGTATATTTGGAGATATGTTAGAAGAGGAGATGGAGGTTTTATGGATGACTTCTCCGTAGGAGGTGTTTCATTTGAGGCATGCCTTGAAAACCTTGAAAAATTTCTTGCAAGGTGTGAGAAGGTGAACTTGGTGTTTAATTGGCAGATATGTCACTTCATGGTGGAGGAAGGCATAGTCCTTGGCCACAAGATCTATCACAAGGGGATAGAGGTGGACAAAGCTAAATTTGAAGTCATTGAAAAGCTTCCACCTCCGGTGAATGTAAAGGGAGTGAGATCTTTCTTAGGGCATGCCGGGTTTTATAGAAGATTCATCAAGGATTTCTCGCTCATTGTAAAGCCCCTCAACGATCTTCTTCAAAAAGATGCCGAGTTTGTATTTGATGATAAGTTTTTGGAGGCATTCAATAAGTTGAAGAAAGCTCTAATCTCTACTCCTATTGTTCAAGATCCAAGATGGGATTTACCATTTGAGGTGATGTGTGATGCAAGTGATTCGGAAATAGGAGGTGTCTTAGGTTAAAGAGTGGACATGAAACTTCATGTGATCTATTATATGTCCAAGACTCTAAATGGAGCTCTACGGAATTAAACTACAACGGAGAAGGAATTCTTGGCTATAGTTCATGCTTTTGAGAAGTTTTGTTGTTATCTATTGGGTTCCAAGACCATTGTCTTCACGGATCATGCGGCTCTCAAGTATCTTTTTGCCAAGAAAGAGTCCAAGCCAAGGTTGATCTGGTGGGTTCTTGAGCTCCAAATCTTTGACATAGAGATTAGGGATAAGAGAGGAGCGAAAAATATTGTGGCGAACCATCTTTCTCGTCTAGAAGATTCTCAAATTCAAGATGATGGTTCTCCAATTGAGGATAGGATGCTTGATAACTTCTTGTATGCTATTGAAGCAAAGGAGCTCCCACGGTTTGTCGATTTAGTGAACTTTCTTGCATGTGGGGAGTTTCCACCTTCCTTTTCTAAGAACCAAAGAAAGAAGCTCAAGAGAGAGGCAAGGCATTATGTGTGGGATGAACACGTCTTATACAAGCGAGGGGTCGATGGCTTACTTAGACGTTGTGTGCCAAATGAAGAGATTCCTAGTTTTTTGAAAAATGTGCCATTCGGATCCAAGTGGGGGCCATATTGGTGTCTCTAAGACCACCAGAACCTTCAATGCGGTTTATGGTGGCCACATCTCTTTAATGACTCATGGGGCTTTATAAAGACATGTGACCGATGTCAAAGAGTTGGGAACATCTCCAAGAGAAACGAAATGCCTCAACAACCCATATTCGAGTTGGAGGTGTTTGATGTATGGGGTATTGACTTTATGGGGCCATTTCCTTCATCTTTCGGAAATTAATTTATCCTTCTGGCGGTTGATTACGTGTCTAAGTGGGTCGAGGCCATTGCCTCCCCAACTGACAACCACAAGGTGGTTATGAAGTTTTTTAAAAAGATAATATTTCCAAGATTTGGGGTACCGAAGGCGGTGATAAGCGACAACGGTTCTCATTTTATTCACCATGCTTTTCAAATAAAATATGTTAAGGAAGCATGGATTCCATGAAAGATTTGACCTCCCATATCGTCCCCAATCGAGCGGTCAAGTGGAAGTCTCTAATCGTCAAATCAATCTCATCCTTGAAAAGACATTTGCGAGAAATCAAAAGGATTGGTCGGAAAAGTTGGATGATGCTCTTTGGGCCTATCGAACGGCTTTTAAGACCCCCATAGGTACCACTCCATACCGTCTAGTCTATGGAAAGTCATTCCATCTCCCGGTTGAAATTGAACATGGTGCTTTGTGGGCAATCAAGAAGATAAATTTTCACTTGGCAAGTGCGGGGGAGAAAAGGTGGTTGGATCTTCATGAGCTAGAGGAGCTTCGGCTTGATGCTTATGATTGTGCTAGTGTGTACAAAGCTCATTCCAAGGAAACACATGACAATCTTATTGAGAAGAAATATTTTTGTGTTGGTGATAAAGTTCTTCTCTACAATTCAAAAATGAAGTTGTTTCCCAGAAAGCTCATGTCAAGATGGAGCGGTCCCTATTTGTCAAGAGTATCTTTCTAAGTGGTGTTGTAGAAGTCTCAATGATGGATTCTTCTTCTTCGTTTAAGGTCAATGGCCATCGTCTCAAAAAGTATTTTAATGGTGCTTTTGTTGGCCTTGTTCACACATTTCTTCTCCGACAACCACCTTGAATGGGTGGTAATCGTTGAGCTAACGAAGTTAAACAAAAGCGCTTACGGGAGGCAACCCGGATTCTCAAGTTCTTTTCTATTTTCCTTTTTATCTTTTATTTTAATTGTTAGTCTTTGCTTTTACTATTTTTCTTGTTTTTTTATTTGTTTTGTAGGTTTCTTTCCATCATCAATTATGGATTTAGGGTGATTGATGAGGAGAGTACAAGAAGAGTTTGTGAAGCAGGGGAGAGGGCACCCTGCGGGCATGGAGAGGCTGCGGGGGTTCTGTGCTTTAAAATGATAACAAGTGCAAAATCCGAGCAGGAACTCACTGCGGTTGCCCCGTGGGCTCACCGAGGGCGCGGGTGAAAAGGAGAGGCTGCAGCATCCTAGAGAGGGCGCGGCCCAGCAAAGAGGTAAAAATTGACAAATCCAATCAGTTTGTTGCCCCGGGCTCCCCGCGGGCGCATTAGAGTTGGAGAGGGCGCGGCGTTCTGGAGAGGCCGCGGGCCTTCATTTAGGTAAAATAATGACAAAACTTGCAGTTTGTAGCCGCGGTTACCCCGCGGTCTACCCGCGGGCACGAAGATTTTGAGAGAGGGCGCGACATGCTGGGTTTATGTTTGCACCGTGCCCCTCTCCTTCTCTCTCCTTTTTTATTTTTTCTTTTCACTCAACTTTTATCCTCTTTCTCTCTCATCCTCCTCTCAAACCCTAACTCCCAACCCATCAATTTCACATCAAATTCCTTAATTTCACTCAAATTTTCATCATAATCTTTTACTTTTCTCCATTTTCATCAAGTTTGGATCATCTTTCTCGTTGTTTTTTGGGAAAAATTGGTTTCTTGAAGCACCTCCAAGCTTGCTCGTGCTTGGTTTGTTTTTGGTGTTCTTGTGCTTCTTTGTGTCTACAACATTGGTATAATCCTAATACTTGCTCTATTTTTGCCAATTTTTATTGATTTTGTGCATTGATTTTGATTTACCTTGGTTAAGTATGCATATGATGATTATGGTTAATTGTATGGTGATTTTGAAATTGTTTTGAGTGATTTGGGCTTACTTTTGATATTAATTGTTAATTTTGTTGGTTGGTGTTTGTATGTTGGTTGTTGTCTTGTTTGAAACAGGTACTTTGTAGTGTTGGGTGGTGTTGTGAAGTTGTGTGAAGTGTTGGTGGTAGTATTGGTGTTGAGCAGTTTTTTGGTGTGAATTCCTTTGAGTTATTAGTGTTATTTGATTTGGTTATTATTGATTTGTTAAGAAAAAGCAAGAGTAGCAAGAAGCGTTCTCACCAATCTCCTGGTCAATCTTCTCAAGGCAAATACTCCCATGGTCAATCTTCCCAAAGCCAACCTCCTCCCAACCCCACTCCTCAAGATAATACCCCACCTCATCCTCTACCACCTCTCAAATTTTATAACCGGTCTAAAAAAGCTCCAATATACAACAAAATGAAATCCTGAAAGTTTAGGCCAACCCGAAATTATCATCATGCCGACATGGTCAATTTAGGAATTGATTTCGATCTTGACATCCTTCTCCACAACCTCCATTATGAGTTTGTTAAAAATTCTCCTAGAACATATTTGGAACCCACTATTGAGTTTTTCTCTACATTTGAATACAATAGGGTGGGGGATACATATTTTCTCATCTCTTTCCAATTGTTCAATGTCAAACATACATTAACTATCTACGAATTCAATGAAGCCCTTGGGTTCAATCCTCATGCCGATATTTTAGAGCCGATCCTTTCCAACTCGGCTCCTTATAATGAGGTTGCTTGGTGGAGAACCATTGCTAATAAGAGAACATTTGACTCCAAGAGTTCGCTTGCTAGTGAAATTATTCACCCAGCCCTTAAGATTCTTCATAGGGTTCTTGGTTATGCCGTTTTTAACAAGCAAGACCTTGGGAAACTTTCAAGGGAAGAGACTATGGTTCTTTGGATGGCCACCAAGTCAAATTTTAGCCCTAGGGTGAATTTGGGTACATTTTTATGGAGTGTTGTAGGGCGATAATT